TGGTGACGCTCGCATGGAACCTCTTGGCTGTAGAGGCACACCTGGGGAACGAGGGGAAACGGATGGGGAAGACAAAATCAAACATAAACATGATTTCATGTTTAAGTGACATTTTGATTTGCGGGTCAAGCTTTTAATGGTTTTCGGGAGATCTGTCTTGATGTTTTCCAAGTTTTGGAGCACGGCCCTCAGAGCTCTGTGCTGCTGTGGGCGCCAGGGAGGGAGTAGCCTGGAGAGGGAGGGAGGTGAGTTGTGGCCCTGATCCGTGCACCCGCAGCCCTGCCCTGGGAGCAGACCTGAGCCTGCACAAGCTGCCGTGGCTGTCACTGCGCTGCCCCAGGAGGGAACGGGACCGGGGTCCCTGGGGAGGCACCTGGCTGCTGTTCCGCTTTGCCTCCATCACTATTAGCTCTCCCTCGGGACCCCCAGCCCCGTGCTGAGGCTGGTCACGGTGATCAGCACCATCTGCCTGCTCCAGCATGCTGCAAGCACGGTGGTGCCCAGCACACGTGGGCAGGCAGATGCTCCCTCCAGCTGCCTCCCATCTACCACAGCATCAGTGCCCTGCTCCATCATGCACGGCCCCACTGCACCCCTTGGCAGGATGGGGTTCTGCAGCCACAAAAAGGGCGATGCCCGCTGCAGAGGGAGGAAAGGCTGCACTGAGGAGCTTGAACATCTCCCTTGCTTTCCCAATTCTGTGTCCCCAGCCTGCCGGGTGTCCCTCGTGTGGCAACTGGGGCCAGGCTCCCACAATGGGCTTGTTGCTCATCCTTCCTGCTCCTTGGTTGCTCTCCCTCGTCTGCCCCAGGGCAATGTCTGGCTTCAGCCTCGTCGTTCCGAACACAGAGATGCTGGGGTTGAGGCGGGGAGGGGACAGGGTGGCAAAGTTCTGCTGCTCCAACCCCGTCCCCTGTCTTGTTGCTCCAGTGGTTTCTTTGGAGCATCCCCTGTTTTGGGGGGATGAGCTTCCCAGCCCGGGCTTCTCCAAGCTCGAGGGGTCCCAGGGTCTTTCTGGAGCAGGTTTGTCAGCTGTGCCAAGGTGCGGGCAAAGGCTGGGGGAGAGGGAGGAGACCAGGAGAACACGCTGGAGCGGTGATGTGGGATGGGGTAGGTTTGTGTGCAGCCGGGAGCTGCTCCGCTTTGTTCCCTGGTTTTGCACAACCGAACAGCTTTTTTTTTAGTTGCTGTCATCATGAAAATCTAACCAAACCCCTGCAGCTTTTCCAAAGTGAAATGAGGTTTTCCTTTCCAGAGGGCATTTTTGACATCAAGATATGGCCACTCGCATATTTTTGCACAAATATTACGGGCTGCGTTCCTGCGGCTGGCAGCGGCGATGCTCTATGCCACCAACACCCTGCCCGCTGGCAACTGCCCAGCTAAATCCTCGGAGGTTGCGGCTCACAGGGCAACAGAACGTTAATATCAAGCTGAGTTTTATGGCCTTTTATTGCAGCACTTGAAAAGACATGATAGCACTCTACGTGTACAAGGCCCAGGGTGTGCCTGTCCATCCCTTGGTGACTCTTGACTTGTGATTAAAGGAAGATGATTTAGGTCTGTGCTTTGAGGCTGCCTTGGAAGATGGGTGTGTGAGCTGAGCAATCCGGTCTCCTGGAGTCAATCCTTTCCTCGTGGCCTTTGCCATGATGGGAGATGGGATTTGCTGAGTGCTGGGGGGATGTTTTTGCTGTGCTTTTCCTTGGCGGGCTCAAAGGACTTCCCTACCCTTTCATCTCACCTCTAATTGGCATCTCCCCAGGTCTCTGTAGCACTGGTTGCTGCGCCTGGCATGGCATGCTGGGGCGGAGCAAGGGAAAAAGGGACTTTCCTGAATTCAAAGCCTGCTTGTCTCGGTGGCGAGGGACACAGCATTTGCCAGTGAGTGGTGGCGTGAGGACTTTTGCTGAAGGAGGTCACAGGCGTGCCCAGGGATGAGGATAACTGCCGACCTCGGAGCCAGCACTGGGGCCTGGCCAGGGGGCCCCCCAAACCAAACCAGCGAAAAGCCCGAGATGGGGACGGTCGGTGTCGCAGGGAGCTGTGCTGAGGGGCTGCGGGAGGGAAGCTGAGGGATTTCCTTGGTCAGCTGGTACCTTTTACCCATAAGCAAAACAGCATATTGTCTACTAGGTCCTGACGAACAGCAAAGCTCCCCGGGGTGTCCCCCACAGAGATGCTGCCCCGGGGTTTCCATATTTCTCACATTTCAGAGGGTTTAATTACTGTGTGATAAATCCTGCTGAGCACAGCTGACAAGATAAACGTGATAGCAACGTCTTGTCGTGCGTTACCTGTATATCCAGTGACTGTCATGGAGAACAAAGTGCGAACACCGAGGGAGACATCTCCTGGGGCTGATGCTATGGTGGTTTGAGCCCTGTGCTGCAATGATTTCTGCGAGTGCTCAGCTTCATGCATTCAATGCATTTCCATTGTCTTCCATGGTCGATGTAAGATACGGCGTGATCCAACGCTGTTCGTACTACAGCGGGTCTTTCCGGGGGTTTTCCTGGGGCCCAGGTCAGACTGTTAGTAGCCAAATCACCAAGTGACTGGTCTGTGTGCTGGGTCCCCCCCTGGGAACTCAGACATCTTCACTGCACACAACAGCTATTCCCATTTTCCTTCCCTGTTTTTAAGTGGTTTTCACGTTCTCTTAATTAATTTCAGAGTCAGGGCTTACGCAGCAAGAAGCTATAAGACAATCTGCTTGCATCTTATGTTTAACACTTGCGTCTTCCAGAAAGGAGATGCTTTAAAGATGGTTTTACACCAGATTTTTTGCCTTGACTGCTCTCACTTGCCCTACTGAGATACTGGAGTCAGAGCCACCCTCCAGCACAGCAGCCACAGAGCTCAAGTTCCAGCTTTGTCTCTTCTGTTTACCATGTCCAAATGCCAACTTCTGGATGGCACTGAGAGTTTTCTGATGGCCGGATAATAAATCATGTGTGGGCACAGGGTGAATGGTTTGCTCTCTCTAGGATTTGGCCCCATGCAAGGGGTCCTGCTGCCCTGGACAGGACAGAGGGGAGCTGCTGGGCTCTCAAGACCATGGATTCATTCAACAGCTACAAGTCTGGCATTTCCCAAGGCCTCACCCTCTATTTATTGTTGATTCGACCATCCTGGAAACTCTTAGTGCGATAGGAAATAGCCGAAGGGAGGGGTCTGTTTTGCTTTTGGAGAGAGATGTAGACCGTCACTTTGTTTTCCTCCTCTCTTTTTTACCTTAACCTGCCAGGAAAAGCAAGGTCTTGACCTGGTCGGTGTTCACACGTGTGGATGGCACTGGGCTCTGGCTGCCTGCACCGATCCTGCTGGCCTGGGGGACTTGTCAAGCCAGGCACCCCGACTCTGGGGTGCAGGGGTGCTGTGCCATGACAGCTGCCCTGCCCCAGCATTGCTGGGGACTTTGAGCCTTTCGCACATGCCCGAGCAGAGGACGAGCTGCTCTTGGATTTGCTTTTGTGCCCTGCCCTGCTGAGATCAGAGATTATATCCAGGCGGCAGCTTTCTCTGGGCAGGCAGGGCTGTCCCACCCCGGCAGGGCTGGGCAGGGGCTCTGCCAGACCTGCCCGATCATCTCCAGGACCTTTTTGTCCCAGACTCTGGGCTCTCCGCAAGTTAGCAATCCATGTGTTTCAGGAGGAAGAGGATGGATGTCCTGCCACGGGTGTGTGCCTGGCTGCTCCTCCTGACCCTGCTCTGTGCCACCGGCCACTGTCAAAGGAGCAAAAGTGAGTGCAGCCCTGGTATGTCTGTCTGCGGTCTCCCCTTGGTGCTGCCCTGTCGGGACTGTACACACCACTCTTGGGCTCTGGAAACACTGGCCCTCATGTAGATAAGTCCTTCCGAGATCTGTCCTTTTCCCTTTCCTCCTGCTTTCTAGCTCCCCAGCAGCTGGGGCCCCTCTCTTGCTATCCCACTGCTGTTTTGTAGCCAGCTTCTGTTAACCACCCGGGCAAAACCTCCGCCGGGTCCTTGGGAACAGGATCAGACTTTCTCATACCCTCCCACAGCTCGCCCAGTTTTCTCCATTCCTGATGCCTTGCTCTTTTCCGGTAGATAACCGCTGCGTGCTGTCCCGGGCGAAGAGCTGCACCGAGTGCATCCGAGTGGACAAGGACTGCTCCTTCTGCACCGATGAGGTGAGACCTTGCAGGGAAACCCAGGACTCTCCTTCCCACCCTGCAGACAGAGGATCCCACCACCGCCAGCAAAAAGCTGAGAGCAGGAACAGCTTCTGGCTCCAGCTCCTCTCTGCAAAGAGCTGGTCTGGATGGGAAGCACCAAAACGCAGGTTTCCTTTGGGGAGTCCAGGGCAAACTTGCAGGAATACAGGGGTTTATCGGAAAATGCTAGTGTGCCAGATCTGAAACAGTGTGTGCGAGGGATGGAGGGAGAGTATTATCCCAGACAACCCAGTAACTCACTGGTGGTCGCGTTTCCCTGCTGCTGTGGGACATTGGCTCTTCTGTGCAAGACTTGTCCCCATCTCTCTGCCCCTTTCCTGCTCCCAAACGCTCGCTGATGGCCTCAGTAGAGGACCTGTTTCCTGACAAGTGCCTTTCCCCCTTGCATGGAGGATTTGCTGCTTTGTGTGGCTGTAACGTTGTTCTTGCCCCCTTGGCAGAGCTTTGAAGAGGCTCGTTGCGACTTGCGGGAGAACTTGCTGCGGTACGGCTGCGGGGAGGCCAGCATCGTGTACACCAGGGGCGAGATGCGGACCCAGCAGGTGGGTGTTGGGAGACAGCCCTTGCTCGGCTTCTTCTGAGGGGTCCCACCATTCCCAGTGACCTTCGTGTCCTGCAGCCTCCTCTAGAGTCTTCAGCAGGAAAAATACAAAGTCCAGACTGATGTTTAGGTAGGGTCTACCCAAAACCAATGCTCTCCCTTCACTAGCTGATGAACCTGTTGGCAACCAGCCCTGCTCGCTTAGGGCTGGGATGGATTTTCAGGCAAAACAGATGTAAGCAAAATGCCAAGGTCTGGAGGAGGCACCCAGGTGGGCACACACGGACACAGGGGAGGCTGCCTCGGTCCCCAGCTGTGCATGAGGGAAGGGAGGATGATCATCCCTGCCTTTCCACTTCCCATGTATCTCCCTGCCTCTTGCCTCCTCCTCATTGTGTCTACACAGGAGATGGAGTCCATCCCCTTCATGTTACTTTTCCTTCACAGAACTTCAGTATCAACAGGTCCCTGCAGAGGACCCAGGTGTCCCCCCAAGGCATGCTCATGCTGCTGCGAGCTGGGGAGGAGATGAGCTTCAACATAGATGTCTTCCAGCCCTTGGAGAGCCCTGTGGATCTCTACATCCTCATGGACTTCTCCTACTCTATGTCTGATGATCTGGACAACCTCAAAAGCATGGGCCAAAACCTAGGTGAGACCAGAGCTGGGAGCAGAGTGGAGCCAGCTCCTGTGCTGATGAAGGCAGGCAGCTCGCTCCTGCCCATGGCTGTGAGGGATGGAACTGGTGAAAGGCTGAGAGGTTTCTGTTTTAATTAGAGTTTCTTATTATTGCTGCTTTGTGCAGCTTTGCGGGTGGATGTCCCTCCTGGCTCTGCAGGGATGATTTCACACGCTCTCTCCTTTCAGCCCAGTGTGGGGGCTGGTGCCCTGCAGAGTCGACCTGTGCGGTGGCTTTGGCATCTTGAACTGATAGGTGTGGTGCATGCTACTGCAGAAGCTCTAGTCTTGGAAAGGGGCTAGCAAAGGTGGTATAGGTTTCTATCCCCAAAAAGACAAGCCCCAAGCACAAAGAACTTAAAAGCTGACAGTTTGGGAGTCTTATCTGAGACCTGACCAGCGGAGAAGATGTCCAGGATATCTTTCCCTGGAGCAGTGACCTCAAGACATCTCTTTATTCATGTGTCTCCTCCTCCCTCCCTTCTCCTCCCAGCGGAGTTCCTGCAAGCCCTGACCTCCAATTACACCATCGGATTCGGCAAGTTTGTGGACAAAGTCTCATCCCCTCAGACAGACATGAGACCCGAGAAGTGAGTGAGGCCAGTGGATCCCCGGGATGGGAGCAGAGAGGGGAGGGCAGGCGCCTTCTATTTCTCCATGGCTTTCCTGATCTTCACTGTCTGTGGTGCGAGAGTCTCCATCCACCCTCTCCCTTCATTGCAGATGTCTCCCCTGGCCTCCCCACCCTGTGCTCAGGGCTTGCTGTAGCACCCTGCCAATGCCAGCAGTGTCCTCCTCTGCTTTCAGACCTTCCCTGCTCTGCCACAACAGATTGTGTGTCTTCTCCTCCATCTCTGCCCTCATACCTTCTACCTGTTGGTGCCGATGGCTTGCCAGCTCTACTTCATGTCTTCCCTTGAGAGACTCCCTAGCCCCAGGGGCTCTCCCCATGCTTCCTCTCCTTGCACCCGGGCATCCCTTTGCTCCTGCATCCTGCAAAAACCCTGCTCCTCTTCTGTCCTAGGCTGCGCGAGCCCTGGAACAATGCTGACTCCCCCTTCTCCTTCAAGAACGTCATCCGCCTGACCAGCAACATCAACTACTTCAGCCAGGAGCTCAGGAAAGAGCGCATCTCCGGCAACCTGGATGCCCCTGAGGGTGGCTTTGATGCCATTCTGCAGACGGCTGTTTGCAAGGTGATGGTGGCCAGGAATGCAGGAGCCATGTGTGTCTGGTTTTAATGAGCTTATTTTCTTGATACTGGCTAATGAGCAAAAGAGCAGCATACTGGGCAGCTGATGAGACAGCCAGGGAGCCCCGGTTAAATGTCAGCTACAGTTGATTCTCGCCCTCCTGCCTGCATGCTCCTGGTGCTGAGTTGGTTTACATTCCCAATTTTTCCTAGGTCTTAGACCATCTGTGTGTGTATCTGGTGTTTGATCCCCAGCATAGGAGTCGCTTGCTGGGTACCCTGCGTGTGCTCTTTGCTCTGTCCCCCTTCGTGCCCATGGTGGTGGAACTCTGCTCCCTGGAAAACAGCCCGTTTGGGCTTGGCCATTTGGCTGAGGGATGAGCCCAGCTCCAAACATGTCCAGAAAAGTGTGACCTTGCCCCATGTACGTATATGTGCCTGGTACCAAGCTGCTGGGAGGCATCCTATGCATTGGGGGTGCAGATGGGAGAAGGGGAGACCTGCTGACTTGGATTCCCAGGGCCACGTGGCTGGTTGTGCTTGCTGCCAAGTGGAGGTGGTGCCTTGCCCCTTGGGTGTTCCAGCTCCTGCCAGTGCTGACCTGCCAACGGCTGCAAGTGCTGTGTGGTGGTTTGGAGGGTTCAGAGATAAAAGTTCCTTCTCCCCTTCCCTGACTGTAGGATAAGATCGGCTGGAGGAAGGACAGCACTCACTTGCTCGTGTTCTCCACTGAATCTGCCTTTCACTATGAAGCTGATGGTACCAACGTCCTGGCAGGGATCCTGGCGAGAAATGATGAGCAGTGTCACCTAGACACCAGTGGCACCTATGTATATGACACCAAACAGGACTATCCTTCGGTGCCCACGCTGGTGCGCCTGTTGGGCCAACACAACATCATCCCCATCTTTGCTGTCACCAACCACTCCTACAGCTACTATAAGGTGAGGAGACCATGGTGGTGGTGCCACGTGGACTTACCTTTCCTCCAGGACTGTTGTTCCTCTGCCTGCAGCTTGGCTGTGAGGGGAAAGTGTTCTCCCACCTCTTGACCCCAAGTGCTAAACCAACACTTTGATACTTTGGGAGGGTGCCACAGTGTGTTGGGGGCCTGCTGTGGGTCGTGGGAGGTCTCAGGGTGTATTATTTGGTGCAGGAATCTGGGCTGCTAGAGGTCTCCCTGAGTTGGTGTCTATTTCTTGTAAAGCAGTGGGGACACATTGCTGGAGAGTCATTTAGGTTGGAAGGGACCTTTGGAGGTTTCTGGACCAAGCCCTGCTCAAAGCAGAGCCCACTTCATTGCTAGAGGAGGTTTCTCAAAGCCTTGGCTCAGGGGGCTCTTGTGTGTCTGCAGAAGCTGCAGGAGTATTTCCCCATCTCTGGGATCGGGGTGCTCCAGGAGGACTCTTCCAACATCGTGGAGCTGCTCCGCACAGCCTTTGAGGTAACGGTGCTCTCTGGGGCTTTGCTCTCACTCCCAGGGAAGGCAGAGGGTGGGCACCTCCTGTCCAGGAGAGCAGGCAGGAGGCACGATGCAGCCCCTCTGAGGCAGGCCATGGGGTGGTCACAGGTGTACTGCTGAAAACCGACGTTGTGGTTATCTCCTGCCACCCAGCACATCCGCTCCAAGATGGACATCCGGGCTGACTTTGTCCCCAAAGCCATGAAGACAGAGTTCACCTCCTTGATGTATGAAAAGACAGAATCTGGCTCCTTCCACATCACCCGTGGGGAAGTGGTAAGTCCTTGGATGGCCCCAGAGGGAAGGTGTGTGTGAGCGGCTGAGCCCTCTGCTGCATTCCTCCTTCCTTCTTCACCTGGGGTTGGTCTGGCCGAGCTGTGGTCCAGCAGAGCTGGCTCACCCCTGCGGCATGTCCCTTCCTTCCAGGGCAAGTTCAACATGCGCGTGAAGGCGCTTGAGTACGTTGGCGGGCAGCACGTCTGCAGCCTCCCTGAGAAAGACCGTAAGGGAATTATCCACGTGAAACCCACCTCCCTGAGTGACAGCCTCAGAGTCACAGCCTCTGTCATCTGTGACGTGTGTCCCTGTGAACAGGTACGTGGGGCTGCGTGTTGCAGAGACGTGTCCTCCTCCAGGCCAGCCGGGGGTGGGAACTCGTCGGTCGTCATGTGTGGGTCCCACTCGACCCCTCACCATTGCTCAGCCTGGCCAAAGAGATCTTCATCACTGCTTGTACCAAGCAGAGCATGTTGTCCTATGGCAGAGCTGAGTCTTGTGGGCAAAACTTTGCCCCTTGATCTGCCTTTCTGATTCCTGAAATGGTCTTGGGGGCAGCTGAGCCCATTTGGCAATGCCTCTTCTTTCTTCTCTTACAGCAACGAGAATTTAGCTCGCCCAAGTGCAGCTTCCATGGGGACTTTGTTTGTGGACAATGCAACTGCCACCAGGGCTGGTAAGGACTTTGTCCAGCTCCGTACCCCTCCCAGGGTTCCTGCTGGGTCTGGGGACCCACAGTGACACACGCTCGTGCCTGGGGTATCCTGCCTAGGACCTTGCTTTCCTGCACTCTGCTCCTGCCTCTCTCAGCACCATCTCCTACCCACCAGGCGAGGGGACACGTGTGACTGCTCCCCGGCATCGTCCCCCAACAACAAAGCCTGCATCCGCCCTGGGGATGTGGAGCCGTGCTCGGGCCGGGGAGAGTGCCTGTGCGGGAAGTGCCAGTGCTACTCCGAGGACCTGATGCAGCGCTTCAATGGGGAGTTTTGCGAGTACGACGTCCTGCAGTGCCCGCGCACCTCCGGCTTCCTCTGCAACGGTGAGAGCAGCCCCCCACCCCCCCGCATCCCCCAGCTGTGTGGGGTGCGCTGTGCCCTGCTCTGTCCTGGTGGCACAGGCAGGGTGTCCCTGGGCTGGTGGCACTGGCACGGGGGGTTGAGTGGCCGGCGATGGGCTGCGGGGACCCTGCCCCTGCTGCTGCGGGGACCCTGCACCTGCAAATGTGCAGGGAGGATGCTGCGGAGTCTGTTTGCAGCCCCTTTGCACCCCAAAGAAAGCGGGAGAGCCGCAGACAGGGCCAGGGGAGCAGCACAGCACAGGACCCTGGGTAACTCCTCCTCTTGTGTCTCAGATCGTGGTCGTTGCTCCAAAGGCGCGTGCGTGTGCGAGAGCGGCTGGGGGGGGCCGGGCTGTGGATGTCCCCCAAGTAACGAACAAGTAACGACACCTGCATCGACAGCCGAGGGGTAGGTCCTGCCCTGCCTGCGTGAGGGACGACTGGACCAGGCAGGGCTGCAGCAAATTTCCCCGATGCCCGAGGCTCAGGGCTGCTGGGAGCTGGCACCTTGCTGACTCCCCGTGCCGCTGCGTGTCTACGATTGCTCTCGGATGCCGACTGTCACCTCTTGTTTCTCAGGGCGTTTGCAATAACCATGGGAGGTGCGAATGCGGCAGGTGCATCTGTGACAAGGCTTCGCTGTACACCAGCTCGACATGTGAAATCAGCTACTCCCTGGTGAGGCTCAGCCTGGGTTCCTCTGGGCTTATCGCTTCTCTTTCCTACACAGAACCTCTGGGGAAAGAAAGCAAAGCAGAGATGAGGGCATGTTTCGTCAGGAGCAAAATCTGGAGCAGAGATTCAGTTAGTCTTGCCTGTCCTGCCTTTGGTGGCCAGGAAGGGTCTGCTATGGGAGATGCTTTGCAGCCACAGGCCTTCTTTGCCCTCCAGTTCACCAGCAGCAACTGTTGAATGCCCATCTGTGTTTATCTGCACCCTGGTGAAGGGCAGAAGTTTGAGGTTTGGCTTCTGACTTCTGCTGATTTGCCTCAAGACTGGAGAAAAACATTTTATGGTCTGGTGCCTCAGTTTTCCCATTGAGAAACATGAGCTAATCCCACAGTGGCAGTGGAGAAAGCTGGTTTGGTCATATTTTGGAAAGGTCACCTAAAACCCTCGGAGATCTGTTCACTGCCCAAATGCAGGCTGTTGGTATAAGAGATTTTGGAGCTAGCTGTGCTGGGCTCCTGGGCTTTTATAAATCCTTCTTTAGCTGCTTGTTCTCTGTGATTCCATGTTTTGATCTTGCTCTGGTGCCGGGGTGAATACGCAGCATTGCCTCTCCAGCTCTGTCTCTCAGAGGTGATGTCCTCCCTCGCTGCCCATGGGCTGTCTCCTGACCATCCCACCTCGCCTCTCTGCCCAGGGCTTCCAGGCTGTATGCGAGAGCATCCGGGACTGCGTTCGCTGCCAGGCCTGGGGAACGGGCAACAAGAAGGGGAACTGCAGCACATGCCACCTCCAGATCCAGATGGTGGAAGAGCTGAAGAAAGGTACCGGGAGAAGCAGAGCTGGGTGCAGACACGTGTGGTGTGTCTCCTGTGGGTCCTGTCCTCTGTGTGTGTACGTGGGGCTGCTCCCCAAGCTTGTCCTGGTCCTGATGTCTTTGCAACCATGTCCCCTCTCTCTGCAGAAGAGGCCAGCGAGCACTGCTCATTCCAGGATGAGGAAGATGATTGCACGTACCACTACACCCTGGAGGGAGACCCCACCGTCCTCCCCAACACCACCGTCCATGTGCAGAAGAAAAAAGGTGAGCAGGGACCCAGTGGGAGGCGATGTCCAGCCTGTGGTGTGGGTCAGCAGTGACCTGCTCCACAGTGCCTCTGAACCCCACTTTGTCCCTTCGCTGTGCCCTGGGGCAGGGTCAGCTGCAGGCAGTGCCTCCCTGCCCACCTCCTGCATGACAGGGGTGGGTGGCATTGGCTGTCACGTGAACTGCAAGGAGTGCAGCGCCTTTAGAGATCAGTGCCTTTTCACTGCTGGCACAGGCAGGGGTTGATGTGAGGTGCTGAATAGTCCCCTTGGGATGGCTGGATGTGAGCAGAGAGATGGGATAGTTCTCCCTGAACAGCACTTTTTGTTGTGAGCACCAACAGAGAAGTTCCCAAGCTTAACTGGGCTGCTTCATCCCTCAAAGAGCTGTGGTCCAGCCTTCCCTCTCTGTCCCTGCCTTCCCCCCTCTCCCTGCACACCCCATGCAGGGGGCTGATGCCCGGGACTGATGTTGCTGTTGCTCGTAGAGTGCCCACCGGGGAGCTTCCTCTGGCTCATCCCACTGCTCATCTTCCTTATCCTGCTCCTGGGGCTGCTCCTGCTGCTCTGCTGGAAGTTCTGCGCCTGCTGCAAGGTGAGTACCTCAGCCAGCTGCCCCAGCCTGAGGTACAGATCAGATAAAGGCCAAAAACATGACAAATTTCCAAAATCCACCCAGCCTTCAGCATGGCCAGAACCCACTCCATCCACTCCACCCATCCCTGCTGATATGAATCCTCCTGGCTGGAGGCATGGGGGTTTTTGCCCTTGGTTGCAAAGTGATTGTGCCTTTGGCCATTTGTTTTCTAGGCTTGCCTGGCCCTGCTTCCCTGCTGTGCACGAGGTACCAGCCCTTTGAACTGGGGGGAAGAGGGATCTGTGGGGTTCACCCCCTTCCCGGGTGGGGGAGCGTGCTGGGATAAGTGTCCCTCCTCCTCCTTTCTGAGCTGCGGAGGTGGATCAGGGGAAAAGCTCCTAGCAGAGAGCCTGAGCCAAGGTGCCCTTGAGCTACTGTTCACACTGCTCCTCCCTGCCCCACACCCTGGTGAGCCCTACTGGGCATCCTGCTGCTGGCTCTCCTCTGACCAGTGTCCCTTGTAATGCCTAGCTGGTGTGATGTGCTCTCTCCACTCACCAACACCCCTTGTCCTCTCCACCCCACTCCACTCCTGACATCCCAACATGCTTGGCATGGTGGAGGCCCTAAAGATTCCCCAGAACAAAGACCCCAGTGTTCAGAAGTTGATGGCTGGCATCCCAGTCTGCCCAGACTCTGACCCTGCCCCTGGCTCTGCAGGTCGCACCGTTGGCTTCAAGGAGGACCACTACATGATTCGCCACAGCCTCATGTCCTCCGACCACCTGGACACCCCCATGGTTCGCACTGGGTCCCTTAAGGGTCGGGACACAGTCCGCTGGAAGATCAACAACAATGTTCACAAGCAGGGCTTCACCCCCCTCGCTGCTGCCAACCTCAAAGATCTCAGTGAGTGCCACATCTGAGGAGCAGGGTGTAGAGCAGATGCTGCGGGTGCTGTGAAGGACACAAACCCTTGGTGGTGACCCCCAGCTCCAACAGCCATGGCATTGCCTCCAAGCCCAATCACAAGAGGGGGTGTTCCTTTATCTGCTTCCATCTTGGGGGAAGCTGAGCAGCACGTTCCCGTGTCCAGCCCTGCAGCAGGACAAGTGGTAGGCTTGGAGACCCCCTGACAGCCTAGCTGTGTGCTGGATGGACCCTGCATGTGTCTTAATCTCATTAGCTCAGTGACCCAGCCTTGATTTTGCTTCCTCATCGGTCCAGAGCCACCGCTAGGCACTGTTTCCTTTGCTTGATCTGGCAGAGAGCTTCCCAGTTAGCCCTCCAGTTCTCAGAGGCTTTTCTCTGCTGGTGCTGTGGGGTTTGGGTGCTTAGCAATACAGGATCTGGACACTGAGCATCACACGTGTCCCCATGGCCCCAGCTCTTGGCTGGGTTATTTCTCTGGCCCAGAAGGAAGGAGTTTAACTTTGGAATTTCTCTTTCCAGTTCCCTATGGGCTGTCTCTGAGGCTGACCCGGCTTTTTACGCAGAACCTGGTGAAGCCGGACGCCCGGGAGTTCGAGCAGCTGCGCAAGGAAGTGGAGGAGAACGTACGAGCCTGGGCACGAGGGGGACTTGGGGTGGGACTGGGGGTCTGCGATGTTGGGAAGGGAGAGCGCCCCTTCCCATGAACCTAGACAGCTCTTGAAAGGAAGAAGCAATTGCTGCTTCCTCTTTCTAAAAGAAAGCACAAGTTTTAAGATCACAATTGCGAGAATGATCAAAGCATCACATTGATGAGATTTGAGGTTTGCTTCGGGGCATGTGGTCTGAAGCTCCTGTTTGGCTTCAGTTTGCAGTCTCTTGCCATATCCTGGGGAGAAAACATGTGGTGGTCTCTGCCTGGTGTGGCAGGGCAAGGGGGGAGGACCTGGCGATGACCAGAGGGCTCTCGTGTTTGCTGGCAGCAGCGTCTGCTCACTGAACACATCCCTGTTCAGCAAGGGATGTGTTGTGAAAGTCCCTCTTGCTCCTTGCAGCTGAACGACGTCTTCAAGCACATCCCTGGCTGCCACAAGCTCCAGCAGACCAAGTTCAGGTGAGTCACTGGGGGAGAGACCTCTTGAGGGGCAGGGTTGCCCCAGGGCCCTGCTGATGAGGGAGTGAACTGGAGGGCTGTGGTGTGAAATCTGGGATGCCGGAAGGGAGCATGGTCTGCGAGCCATCCTGGGCACAAGCCGGGTGCAGCGCTTCGCCCGCTTGGGGCTGCAGAGCAGAGCCCACCCAGCTTTGCAGGTCATCTCAGCTGCATCTAGCTTTGGACCTGAGAGTGCTACAGACAGGGACAAATCCTGGTCACATGGTGCTCACTGGGAAAATTCCCACCGACTTCCAAAGTTTCAGCCCTCTGCAAAGTTAGAGTGCCTGGTGCAGGATGAAGGACTCTGGGGATGCCGGTGCTGAGCAGGGAGTGTTATCCTCTTCCCACAGCTCCGACTAGATGTGATCTCCCCCGTGGGCATGTTCCTCATCACATTGGGAAACCCAGGGCTGGAGGGAGCAGCCAGGCAGGAGGGAACATGTGATGGGGCCATGGGCTCTGCAGGATGGGTTGGCACCCGCAGGGAGCTGCCGCAGCTCAGACCTGCACAGGGCTGTGATTCACACAGAACTTTGTATACCCCAATGCATTAGTCACTCTGATTTGGGTTTTTTTTTTTTCCCCCCAGGTTACAGCCCAATTCTGGGAAAAGGTAAGAGGAACTTGCAGCCCTCTCTTGTGCTGCTTCTCCCTCTTTGTGCACACACGTGTGGGGTGACACATGCCCCACACATTCACTAGCCCCTCCAGCTGCTGTGTGAGATGAGCTACCCTGGCCTCAGCTCTTACCCGGCTTTCTCTTCCCACCGGTCACAGGCAGGACCACACCATTGTGGACACAGTGCTCACTGCCCCTCGCTCAGCCAAGACAGAGATCATCAAAGTGGTGGAAAAGCACGTTTCCCATGAGGCTTTCAATGACCTGAAGGTTTCACCGGGTTATTACACTGTGACCTCAGACCAAGGTAGGGAGCAAAGCCCAGTGCTGCCTCCTGGCTGGGCAGGGAGGTGTTTCCCACCTCTAACCATTGCCCCTTCCCCCAGATGCTCATGGGATGGTGGAGTTCCAGGAGGCCGTGGAGCTGGTGGATGTCCGTGTCCCACTCTTCATCAGGGAGGATGATGATGATGAGAAGCAGCTGCAGGTGGAGGCCATTGATGTCCCCACTGGCATCGCAGAGATTGGACGCAGGCTTGTCAACATCACCATCATCAAAGAACAAGGTGAAGAGCTGTGACTGTTGCACAAGTTAAAGAGTGGTTATGTTTGAGTGTCCCATGTCCAGATGGACTCACGTGGTTTCTAAGGAAGATGCAGCCTGTGTATCTGAGCTCCCCCGGATCACAGACCACAGACTTGCTTGGTAACTCCTATCTGAAGTCATCCAAGGTCTAAAAAAAAAAAGCATCTTCTAAAGCATCAAAAGGAGGGTCGTCATCCTTGGTGACAGAGACCCAAACATTTGACCATCACAAGTTTAGATGCTACTAATTCCATGGCATATCCAGGGTTGACCATATGCCTCTGCTGCTCCAGTTCATAGGTTGCTGGAGTAAAGTAAAATCTCCTCGCTGTTATGCTGTGCTTGGGGCAGGTGTGAGACCCCAGCTGTTTGCCTCTGCTTCCCTTCTGGTTGTTTTGAGCAGGGAGCACGAGTCGGGAGTGGTAAAGTCTCTGGCCCATGCAGTAATATTTCATACACAGTTCACACCCATGGGCATTAGGAACTCTGTTCAGGGAGGACACCTGTGTGTTTGTAATGTGATTCTTCATGTATTTGCTCTACACATTCATTCTCTCCTGCCCCTTCCAGCCAGCAGCCTCATCACCTTCTTGCAGCCAGCCTATTCCCACAGCCGCTTCGATAAGATGGCCAAGATCCCTGTCGTCCGGGACATCATAGAAAATGGGAAATCCCAAGTCACCTACAGGACCCGGGATGTCACCGCCAAGAATGGCAGGGTAAGGGTGATGCTCCTGGTCTTGGCAGGCAGGAACGAGTGGGCACAGAGGGCTGGGAAGGAACCAGCCCTGGGGCTGTAGAAGACCAGTTGATCAGGCTCAGAGGGAATGTGGCTGGAGAGGGGAGACCCCAGGCTTCAGGTTAGCACAAGGGCAGACATTCCCCTCCATCCCTTGCTCCCTGTGTCTCAGGAACCTGAGAGGCTGCTTGTGCCTGAGGCGGAGGGCACTGGCTGCCCTCTGAGCTGTCGCAAGTGAGGATTCACTGGGAGGCGAGGGGAAGCTCTCTAGGAGCCTTCTCATGGATGCTGCGGGCTATAATCATGCACCTCTTCCTTCTCCCCCAGGACTACGTCTTGACAGAGGGTGACCTGGTCTTCCAGCCTGGGGAGACCCAAAAGGAGGTGCAGGTCCCCTTGCTGGAGCTGACTGAAATAGATACCCTCCTGAACAACTGCCAGCTCAAGCAGTTCATCATCGAGCTCCTCCATCCCAAGTACGGCGCCAAGATTGGCCGATACCCCCAGACCATGGTGACTATTGCTGACCCAGGTAGGGGCTGGCAGCCAAATGGTGGGAATGGCAGCAGGCGGTGTGGGACCCCCACACCGGACCAGCCCACCCCGAGGTGGTGTACGGAGCTCCAGCCCTGCTCCTCACCCAGAAAGCGGCAATGAGGTTTCTCCAGCTCCGACTGGTAGATCTGGGCCTCCCTCTAGAGGCGTTAGTGGGTATAGATAGTGGGTGGGAAGAAGATGGATAATCTACCTCGCAAAAGGAAATAGAGTGGATTCTTCATTCCTTTTCCTTGGGGATTTGAATTAAAAGCTATATAAATAGGGGAGAGGCAGGACTTGCCATGAGCTGTGTTTGGTCGTTCCTGTGGCTGGACAAGCAAAACTGTAAGGGTTTTCATCAAGTGGGTCAATAACGTATTTATCACAGTACTGGCCATGAATACTGGGGGTACGAGAAAGTCCCCTGGCACTGGACCAAGCAGAACCACTTGAGGGGCAGGCACTGGGCTGGAGAGGCTCCAGGGAGCTCTCAGCTGGACTTGGTGGGTTTCCAGGAGAAGCAACAGGGCAACTTGAGAAGGCTCTGCCCATCTCCATTTTCTCTCATGGCTGCACAGGGCAACTGATCAAGATGTTGAAGCATTATTAAATACATTCAGACAGAGCTAAAGATTTTCAGAGGCAAGAAGGTGGCCTCTTCATTTCTTCCCACCTGGGCAGCCTGTGAGAAGCAGCAGGAGGTGCAGAACTCGAGGCATCTGAGCCCTACTTTCATGCCAGCTTGCTGTGTGGCTTTGGGGGATGTCATCAAAGAGTGCCTCAGTTTCCCTTCCCTACAATGGGAATCTACCGCTCAGAAATGCTTTGAAAGGCTCACTCAGGATGGCGGGCAGCACTGGAGAGAGGCACGCTTCTTTCTTTTCCTTCCACGTGGGGGACTAGCACTGATGTGACTTTTCTTCCTTGTGTCTGCAGAGGTGGTGGATGGTGTCCCCTCGATGACTGGCATGAGCCAGGTCTCCCAGTCCCCCAAAGGCCGCCTGACTGCACCACTCAATCCCAGTGCCCACGCTCTCAGCTCCAGGGAAATCCGCTTCACCTGGTTTCCTCCACCGGGAAAACCTCTGGGGTACAAGGTAAGGGGTGAGTGGATACCAAGGAAGGGCATGGGTCCCATCCTGCAGCTGTGTCAAACAGACGGTCATTTGGGCCGAAGGGATGGGGAGAAGGTGCCCAAAGGAGGGAGCAAGCTCACCCCTTCTGGCCCCCTCCATCCTTTGCTGGGTGGGACCATTGCTGGGTGGATGTGGGATTTGCAGGAAAGATTCCTGGTGGGTTCACCTCCCTTTCCATCACTTATCATGAAATGCTCAGGCCTCCCATTTCAGAGGAATGACACAACACCCTGGCTTTCCCAGAGCAGCTCTAATAAGAGATGGGGAATTTCTCACCCATTATGGTGAGAATCTGAAGGGATCATGGCTTGCTCTTGCTTTGCCAGGTGAAATACTGGATCCAAGGGGACCCCGAGTCAGAAGCCCATCTCATCGATGTCAAAGCACCATCAGCAGAGCTGAGTAACCTCTACCCTTTCTGCGACTACGAGATGCAAGTCTGTGCCTACAACGCCATGGGTGAAGGGGCTTACTCTGACATCATCCACTGCCGCACGCTTGAGGATGGTGAGTGACTCTGCTTCCCACTGTGTGGGAGCCAGTTGGTGCCTGTACACCCAGTGTGGGGTCAGGGCTCCAGCCCTGAGCTTCTGATGGTCTGGGGCACAAGCACTGAGCGGCTCCCACTGTGATCTGGCTGTGATCTAGGGAGCTCTGGGTGTCTGTGTGTGCTGGCTTCTGACTTGCGGTAACCTGGACCCTTTGCTCGTGCCTTTTCAGTCCCCAGCGAGCCCGGCCGCTTGGCTTTCAATGTCGTGTCTTCCACCGTAACGCAGCTGAGCTGGGCTGAGCCTGCAGAAACCAATGGGGAGATCACGGCTTACGAAGTCAGTTATGGACTCGTCAATGAGGACAATGGTAAGAGCTCGTTTTCTGACCAGGGCAGTCCAGCCAGGCGGAGGGACTGGAGTATACATTCCACAGGCTGGGGCAGTTCCAAGCAGCAGCAGAACCAGAACGGCTCCAAGCATGTTTCTTGTGAAAACTGGGATCTAGAGGGGTCACTTCTTGATGGAAGGAGTACAGGGAAATCACTGCTCAGGATTTAATCCTGCAAAGCCTGGAGTGCTCTCAGTTCCCATCCACTTCCATAGTGTTTTATGTTGGTTTTCATCTTAAAAACTTAGTTCATAGGTCTGGACCAAGGGCTAGGGTGCCAGGAGGATGCTCTTTGGTGACACACCAGCAACAGGAGACCTCTGCTGTAGCTTGACTTCAGCATTCAGTTGGGGAATTCCCTCAAGATGATGTCATGAACAACCGAAATAGCTGCTGCACCTTATTCCAGAGCCAGGCTGTGTCCTGACACCAAATCTCAGCGAGCCTCTTGGCCAAGGGTGGGGTGCTGTGGGGTCTTCTGTGTCTCATGACCTTGTGGGTGATAGGCGTACCCATATTTGCAGTACCCATTGGCCCAATGAAGAAGGTGCTGGTTGAAGACCCGAAGAAGCGCATGGTGCTGATAGAAAACCTGCGGGAGTCCCAGCCCTATCGCTACATGGTCAAGGCCAGAAACGGTGCTGGCTGGGGACCTGACAGAGAAGCCACCATCAACCTTGCTACGCAGCCCAAGCGCCCGATGTCCAGTGAGTTACTGCCCTGCCTGGCTGGGGTGCAGGGTGGGCAGGAGCAGCACTGGGGAATGCTCCCAACCACCCCAGCTGCTGCTCCACATCTTGTTTGCTCTGCTGCACCAGCCATCCTGGTGAATGCTGAAGACCAGCCTGAGTGTGGGAGGCCTGTGTGGTTTTGAGCTGCTTGTCTAATAGCACTTTCCACCTCTCCTCCAGTCCCCATCATCCCTGATGTCCCCATCATTGATGCAGAGGGAGGTGAGGACTACGACAGCTACCTGATGTACAGCACAGATGTGCTTCGCTCTCCAGTTGGCAGCAAGCATCCCAGTGTCTCTGATGATTCAGGTACGTTGCTCCGAGTTTTGCAAAGGTTATTTTTAACATTAATTTTCCTTAACAACAGCTTTCAGCAGTGAGCTTCACTGCCCATTTCCTTCTCATGGAGATGGGGAGATCCAAGTCACGGACATGGTGGAGATCAGCCTTTCCAAAGCACAGTAGCTGCATCCATGGGAACACTTGACTAGTCACAGGGTAAATAAGACCAGTGGTTCCTTGACTTAGTCATGAGGCAAAGAAAAATCTCAGCGTGGGGTCGGAGAGGAGCCCCACCTGGCCCTCCCTGCTCATTTTCCCCTCCTGTTGCCATTTGGCTGGACCACGAGAGTTATTGTCAGCAAACAAGCACTGGCAAGGCACAGACCTCTGACTCCCTTGGACGCTCTAGGGTCTTGGCCAAGCCAACAGGAGGGAACTCATCAAGTGCTGAGAAGGCACTGGTCTGTCTTCCTCCATCACTTCGCTCTCTGAATGAGGCTGGCTCCCTTGTCTTGTACTGGGGACAATGAAGGGAAGATGGGCCATAAGTGAAATGATGAGGCTTGTCAGTAGGATCTGGAGGGTCTTTCCTGGGGGGGGTTCTCCAGGCCCTGGGATCCAGAAGTGAGTCCCTGGTCCTTTCAGAGAGCAAGGTAATGGGAACACCAAGAGTCCGACCATCCCGAGCGCACATCAAGGAGTGAGGAAACCTCTCCTGAGCAGAGGACAATTGTCACAGACTCTTCGTGACAGGGACAGGCACGTGGTGGGACTTTGACTCTCGCCTTGTGTTGTGATGGACACAGGGCTGGAAAGCAGCCCTGGGGTTGAGGAACTTCATGCACGTCACATTCCCATCATCCTCCATCTACCAGTCACATGGTGGTTGCAGCACCTGAACTCATCAGCCAACACTTGGCGAGACGGGCTGTGAACGGGTGTCGTTTCCACTGGCACCTGCCCCTTCCCCTCCCCAGCAAGCAGCACGAAGGTGGTGGGTAGCCCACTCTGTCCCCTGCAGATCATGCCAACACCAGTGCTTGCGTTGTCCCAAAAGGCTCCAGATGGAAATATGTGCAGTTGCTGGGAGAAGACTTGGATCTTCGCCGCATCACCTGGAGGCTCCCACCTGAAACCATTCCCCGCCTCTCTGGCAGCAGCCACTTCTCCTCGGACACCGAGGGTCTCCTCCACGAGGAGGACAGCGACATGGCTACTGGAAGCTTGAAGAGGAGTGGGACGCCCCGGCCCCAAGCAGGTGAAGGACGGCTTCGTTAATGGCACTGAGTGTCCTGTCTCGTCCTGCTCTGAGCCAAGGGGCCGACGGCTGGGGGCTGCCCCAGTACGTGTCCCCTTCCTCCCCTTGTGTGCCCATCCTCGTGTTGGTGTGATGCACTGTTCACGTGCTGTAGTCTGCTTCAAAAACCTTGTCCCGGTGTGTCTGCTCACAAGAGTGTCAAGGTAACCCCCATCTCGGCATGGACTTGGGAGCCTGCTAGCAAGTTGCTTCTACAAAAGGCTGGACCTTCGAGGCAGGAGCAAACTCAGATGATACCTGCTAAGTGCCACCTCCAAGGGCAGCTCCTCACCTTAATTAAGTGCCCTGAGCTTCTGGGGCACATCTCCTGGACTGTTAAAGAGAAATCACTCTCTCATGGGTAGCTGATCTCTCCTGGCCTGCTGGGAAGGGATGGGGGTTTGTCAAGGACCAGAACAACGGAGCAGAGTTTCCTTTCCAGATCCAGCTGAGATGGGATCCAGAGTGAGATTTGGACAAACCACCTCCATAAAGGGCTGTTTTCCTTCTTCCACCTTCATTTTCAGTCTGAAATTATAAACCTGTGCTTGTGTCTAAGGACAGAGGTGAGAGAATATCACGAGAATCACAAGGCACTGCCCCAGCGACGCCGAGGTCTGGAGTTACCTTGGGCACCATGGGTGTCTCTGGTGCTGAGTGTAGGGCAAAGTCCATTTACCTGTTTGTTTCCACATCATTACGTTGAGTGGTTGTGGCTTGTTCTAGATGTAGTGCTCCAGAACAGCCTTCCAGAGTGGCTGAAGCCAGGATGCAGCCAAGGCAGGGTGCACCATGATGCCTCCTGCTTCCTCCCCATGGAAACTGCAGGAACAGCCCTGTCCACAGCCACATTCCTCACAATGTGCTCTCTTTCACAGAGCACTTGCTGAACGGCCGGGTGGACTTCTCCTTCCCCAGCAGTGGCAGTGGCACGCTGACCAGGACAACAAACACCAGCTACCACCAGCTGAGCTCTCACGTGCAGCAGGAGCACAGGGTGATGGGGAGCTCCTCACTGACAAGAGACTGCTCCACAATGCTGATGGGGCACGGTGAGTACTGTGGTGATGGGACCTGTCCTTCCCTTCCACCCCCATGACTGTCTTCAGACCCATGCCCTGCAAGTCCTGTTGGGGTGAGGACTGTGTTCACAGCTAAGGGAGCCTATGAACCAGAGATCTGGAAGGTCATGTCCTCACCACTGACATGTAGGTGCTTTGCTAAGGCCACCCTGCTCCCAGATCAGTTTGGAAAGGGTTTCCATCCCTCATGTGCAGAGTACTCATGAAAGGGAGCAGGGTTATCCTCACACCTTATCCTCACACCACGAAGCACTCCGGGAAAAGCATGTGTCTCCTCTTCTTACTCTATCTAGCAGCATGGTTGCCTTTCAGCTCCACACGTGTATGTCAGCTGGTGCCAACAGAAGGGTGTTAAAAGGCTCTTCAAATCCAAGCCTTAAAAAGTCATCGCTGCAGGAGCCAGCACCTGGGCTGAACCCTCTCTGAAGTCTCCAATGGTGTTTTTCTCTCTTTCTTTTGCACTGCTTCTGTAGATTACCCGGGGAGACTCCTCCCTCCCATCCGTGAAGATGCTGGGAGGACAATCCCACGGCCCCGGGATGTGGGTTTCAGGAGCAGGGTAAAGGTGAAGGGTTACTACCCCAGCACTGGCTTTCGGGACTCTATAATCATGACTGATGGGTCTGCGGGGATTTGCAAGTTCATAGGTACAGCTTTGTCCAGTGTCTCCTCCCAGTCACACATCCCATAACAGCCAAGCCACTGGCTGTCCATGAGCTGCTGCCACCCACTGCTCACCCCAAACCTTCTCTCCATGTCTTGCTGTGTGCTGCACTGATCTTCCTGACCTGGCCTGTGCCTCCATCACACCACCTTTCCATTTGCAGGTGACTTCAGCTGTGTTTCAACCCACCTGGGCTGATTAATGCTCCCCACCACCACCATGCTCTAACGAGCTGATCAGCTCATTGTCGCCATCCTCTTCATTCCTAACAAACTTGTTCTTACTCTTACGCCACAGGCCTTTGGAGGACTCTTGGGGAGAATGTGTGCTCCATACGAGATGTTCCTCTGCAAGCTTCTTGGCCAAAGCCCATGTCAACAAGGAGCTTCAGTCCCTGAGTCCCTGGGAGGCTACTGTGCTTGCCATGAGCTTTGTGTCCCAGTGGGGCTGAGTTGGGGGGGAACCAAAGCACCCAGCTGCCCCCGTCCCCTTAAATGTTGGGCTGCTTTAGCTGTAGACTATGGCCAGTCTCAACTGAGCTACATCTGAAGATGTCTGTGAAGCTTCTGGCAGACTGGACAGGGTGCTTTGGGGTGAGTGAGGAGGGCCACACACAGCACCCAGGCCCCGATCTGGTCCCTATACCACAGGGGCACAAAACTTACCTTGACTTGTCCCACCCAAGATTGGCACCCCAAGGCCATGGGACATCACTGTAGGTGTGTAAAGCCAGCCAGTCCCCCCTCACGACAGGCCAGCTTGCAGAGATAACATCTCGCCATGTTCTCCCCAGACCATTGGGACCATCCCACACTTGTGCGTGCCGCTCCCTCCCCTCTCCCAGCCCCCTTAGCCCCCAGCTCCCAAATACCACCCTGATGTTCCTTTTTTGCCTTAGACTCTAGGCTGCCGCTGGGCATCCCCGACACCCCCACGCGCCTGGTGTTCTCTGCCCTGGGACCCACCTCCCTGAAGGTGAGCTGGCAGGAGCCACACTGCGAGAAGGAGGTGCAGGGATACAGTGTGCAGTACCAACTCCTCAACGGAGGTCAGTGAACAAACAGCCGATGCCCACCAGGCAGTTGGTGGAGGGGAGTCTGGTCTGGGTCTTCTCCTGGGCAACTGGCTCTGGGTGACCCTGCTTGAGCAGGGGGAGGTTGGACCAGATGACCTCCAGAGGTGCCTTCCAACCTCAACCATTCTGGGGTTCAGGGACTGGTCCCAGCTCTGCTTTTTGTGTAGCCTTGAGGAAACATCTTGGCTACCCCACAGCTCTCATTGCCTATTTCTGCTGGGGGGACAATTCCTGGGGTTGCTTGTGGAGTCACCCCTCCTCCAAAAAACCTTGGACTCATTGTCCACCAGCCCCAACATCTTAGTTGAAGGTTTTTTCATCACATTGGACTTGAAGAAAAGATTGAAATTAAAATCTCTTATTTTTACATGAAACATGGGTCAGTGTTAGTGAAAATGTAATTCTCTTTGGCTGAAAATCCTTGAGTTTTCAAGAAGCTGTTGTTTGTCCCAAGCCTTTTTTGGATCAACATTTCACCCTGCTCTACCAGTAGTTGGTGGCAAAGGTGTGATGGAAGTGGCCAGGGATGGGCCCCAGGTGACTTTTCCAGGCAGTTCATTTGAGATAGAGTTTAGGCAAAAGCAAAAAGCCATGGCTCTGTGCCTGCAACATGGTGCTGACGTCCCCCTTCCCTGTGTGTCCCAGGAGAGGTGCACCGACTCACCATCCCCAACCCCAGCCAGAACTCGGTGGTGGTAGAGGACCTGCTGCCCAACCACTCCTACATCTTCAAGGTGAAGGCGCAGAGTGAGGAAGGCTGGGGCCCCGAGAGGGAAGGAGTCATCACCATAGAGTCCCAGGTGGACCCGCAGAGCCCGCTCAGTCCTGTACCAGGTGAGGTGGATTGGGGACAGGAGAAGGGTGGCACTGATGTCTCTGCTGTGTCTACAGTGCTGGCCTTGTTGTTTTCTCTCTCCTCACTACATTCTCCTTTCCTTCCTTTCATTTAGAAATAGGACCTTCTTCCCCATGCACTCACCTTCCACTTGCTGTCTAGATAGCTGAAACCTTCCAGCTCATTTCATAAATGCTGTGTGCAGACCCCTCCCAGGCTCCTCCTCACCACCTTCCGTGACACTGACCTCTCGCTCGTGGCCCTGCAGGTTCACCCTTCACGCTGAGCACACCCAGTGCTCCCGGACCGTTGGTTTTCACTGCCCTCACCCCTGACTCCCTGCAGCTCAGCTGGGAGAGACCCCGCAAGCCCAATGGATCCATCTTGGGCTACATGATCACCTGTGAGATGCTGCATGGAGGAGGTACAGGATCAGGCTGTGGAAGCCCAGTTCCCTGTGTAGACCACAAGATACCTTCAGCAAAGGCAGCAACGTGCTGTATTTTTGCTGAGACCAGCAACAAAGTTGTCTGCTCACCTTGGTGTAGATAAAGTGGGGACGTGAGGCTGATTTTAGGTCTGGGAGCTGCTGGACTCTGACGCTTTGTGTCATTGCATGGTCTGGTGTAAAAAATGTGGTGGGAGGGCGAAAGACCTGTAGCTTATCACAGCGCAAAACCCAGTGGAGGTTGTTGAGAATCACCACTGTACTAAAATAGGGTTGTCTTAACCCTTAGTGGAACTGGGTGTGATCATACAGTCTGTGGGTGGCATAAAGCTTAGAGAAAGCCAAGACAGCAGCCAGAGTTGGAGGAAGTATGTTTGGAGGGACTGTCACTTCTGTCTATCTTCACCACTGGTATGTCTGTGTGGATTAGGGGAGCCCAGGAATATCTACGTCGAAGGAGACAATCTGGAAACTACCCTGACTGTGCCCCACCTGAGTGAGAATGTCCCATACAAGTTCAAAGTGCAAGCCAAGACCACCCAAGGCTTTGGGCCAGAGAGAGAAGGCATCATCACCATTGAATCTCAGGATGGAGGTACAGTACCATGTCTTTGTGGAGGTGCAAAGATAAGAAACCTCTTGGAGCAGGGAACACAAGTCCTAGAGTCCCTTTCCAGTTCTGGTGGTGACTTCATTTTCCATGAAAGACATGGCGACATTGTCATTCCATAAAGACCATGTTGTGCCTTGTGACCACTGTCCCAGTCCTGATGCACTGAATAAGGGAAGATTGAGAGAACCTGCCAGTGTTTAATTTATTATGAAACTTCTGCCTTATGCCTGGCTGTACACATACCTGGAGGCAGCTTCTTACACTGCACGGGTGTAAGGCCTTCCCAGTCCTCCCAGTTCCTCCTAAACCTGGTTCTGATGTCAGCAAGAGAAACTTCCTGAGCTGACTGGTCCTCACTGTGCAGGGTTGAGGGGTTGGAAGCTCCTTGTCATTTCCTGGCTGACTCATCCCTTTTCCTTCTCCCCAGGCACTTTCTCCCAGTTTGGAGGACAGCAGTACATGAGAGAAGAAGTGTACAACTTCCCCACTGAATACACCACCAAAACCAGCATCAGCCATTCCTCTCTGGATCCTCACTTCACAGGTAGGGGCTCGCTGTCTGCTTTGAAACCCTCACAAAGCAAAGGATAACTCTGCTTGTCCAAAGGTCTGAGGGTGCTCAACTGTCAAAGGCAGGGAGGGAGGGTCCGTCAGGCAGGATGAAGAGGACCAGACCCTCTCCTACACCACATCCCTGCTCTCTCCCAGAGGCAGTTGCAGGCATTTCCCTAAGTGCTGCCCAGTCATACAGGGAACGCTGAGTTTTCAAAGTCCCCCAGGACTATCACTAGGGACCAAATCATAGCTCTTCTTGCAAGGTTAGATCTCTTCAGAGCAGGAAAAAAGTGTGGTGACCATCTTCGTCACTTACATCAGTGTAGTTGTCCCATGTTGTCCCACTTGAGCTCATAGACTGATGGGCTCATGCTGCAACATGGAGAGTTTGGGAGCTGTTAGGAGATCCATCTTATTGACTGACAGCAAAGTGCTGAATCACTTGATCTGGAGAGGTTTTCCATCAGTGAAAGTGGTATTTAAGGAGAAACCTCTGCTAGGAATCATCAGATAGAGTAGATCCTATTTTCTGTGACCCCATACTTAGTGCTGTGTCCTGACCACTGAGCTTCTTGTTGCAGATGGCATGCTCGTGACAACCCAGCGAGTGGAGAGCGCCAGCAGCACCCTCACCAAACAGGTCACCAAAGAGTTTGTGAGCCGGACCGTGATGTCCAGTGGGACCCTCACCAAACAGATGGAGAGGCAGTTCTACGAGGCCTGAGCCAGGGCAGGCTGCCCGCCAGCGGGACATTTCTATTCAGATGGCAGGACTTTGTGGAACGATCTAAGGGTGCTTCATCCAGAAGCTGCCACAGTGCCTGAGCAGCTCTTCCTGTGGGCAGAGGCCTTCCATGGCACTTCAAGCTCTGGACCTCTCCTTCGGAGTCCAGCGCACTCAAAACTCTGGCACAGTTGGGTCATCGGGTGTGTGCTCATTCTTCAGGGCTTGTTCACCCTGTCCTGCTCTGCAGAGACTCAGTTCTGCAGAGTCCCCAGGGCTGTCTTCCATGAACAATCACCACTCACTCCAATACCATTCTTCAATGCCCATCCATCCAAATACACCTGCTGAAAGTCGGGTGTCTTGATGGCTCCAGCATCCCCAGATAAATGGAACAGGATGATTTATTCTCAAGTCCTCAGTTTTGAGAGGATCCCAGCTGGCAACATCCTGATTTATAGAGGGTCACCACTTCCATCTTTGATCCAGGCTCTGTGGCATCTTGCCTGTCCCCTGGAGATGGTTATTTTGTTCTGTTTGGGTTTTTCTTATATGAGAGCTGCAAGGTGGGGTTTTGGGGTAACCTATGCTTTCTTACTGCACCTATTTGTGTCTGTCCTTCGCTGCTAACATTTGGTACCACGATAGCAAAGTATAGCCTTTTGTCTGTATACAATTACTCGTGACGGCCTCTGATGCATTTTTTTGCATACGATAATGTACAGTTTACGTAGTATATATATAAATATATATAAATGT